AACTGTGGTGTTGGAGGAGACTCTTGAGAGTCCCTTGGACTGCAAGGAGATCCAACCAGTCCATCCTAAAGGAGATCAGTCCTTAGTTTCCTGCATTGCAGGAGGATTCTTTACCGCTGAGCCGCTGGGGAAGACTTCTCAAGCCCTGCTGAGTTTTCCAGGAATGCCATTACCATGAGAACTGAGGCACGGTTGTTTTTCTTTAGGTCTGTTTTGGGAAAGCACATAAGTGATGGCAGTGCAGAGCCTGCATTTGAGTGTTTCTGCATCAATCAGGCTTTTGAAAAGTATATAAGTAGATTAATTTTATATCTACATAGATTATAGTTTCTATGAATTTTGTTTTATAATGGTCAGCAGCATTACAAAATATTTGTTGTAAAAAAGGGTACATTAGGTTTGACTGGACTAAAATAAGCACTGGTCTAAAGGTCTCCCAAGAGCCTTTTTAGCTGTAGCATCCTTTGAGCATGATGGTTGAGAGAAGCCTCACTTGAAATGAATAAAATGGAAAACATGCAACAGGAGAAATGGTTCAAGGCAAGGATTAATGTCCTCAAATTGAGTGGATTCAGCTGCTGGCAGTGCCCACTGCTGCATGGCCCTTCAGTGGGGTGAAGTCCTTGATTCTGGACTCTGTGTCCAGGTGGAATTCAGGATCGGAATGTCCTAGTTAGGCAGACACGTGGATCTTTTTATTGTCCGTAAGGGATCCAGGTTCATGGGTACCTATTGTACCTGTGTGGAAGCTTACCTGCTCCCCTTCCATCCATAGTCCTTCCTCATGCCCCATTCCCATGATGTAATTTTAGGAGAATTAAACTTGAACAGCCCCAAATTATATAATTAATTACATTCAGCTTCAATTATAGTCACTAATTGATCCAAGCCTGCTAGCACAACACTTTCATTATTCAGCACACAATTATTGAGCGCCTACTTTGTGCTGGGAATAAAGTAGGAAATGGTCAATTTCTCCTGAGAAGCGGGGGGCTAGATGGGAGTTAGGACTGTTAAAACAAGCCTCCTGGGGACACGGAGTGGTGGCTAAGGCTTTGCTGGGGAAGTGGCAAGTGGGCACGTTCCTTTGGCCTTCTAGTTCACTTTTGAATGTTTGTACACTAAAAATCTCACTCGGGCCACCCTGGGATCAGGCAGGCTGGTTTTGCCTCCAGATGTCACATTTTGTACTCTTGGTCTCTGTGGTTTTCTTTTGACTGTTGAATAATAATTAGTTGCATCACCTCACTGGTCTCCCCAGCCCTAACTCTGTCTCTGTCTGTAATGGAAGGCCTTGCTACTCAAACTTAAATCTGTATTCTTGTTAAATGCAGACTCTGATTCAGCAGGTCTGGTGAGGCCTGAGATCCTGCAATTCCAACCAGCCCCCCTGGTGATGCTGATACCTCCAGTCTAGGGACCGCACTTGGAGTCACAAGGTGCTAAGATCACCAGATTACCCTCCTTTCAGGTGCTGTCATTTTTGAAAGAGAAGCCAAAGCAAAGTTATGAAACACCTAACTGCAGTCAGGGGTCTCCAGAGTAGGACAATTACTGTCAAATTGCACCGAGATTACCTCCTCCTTTTCCACTGTGTGTGTGCTTTTTAATATTATCAAACATTATAATTGTACAATATCTAGAAGTATAGAACAAAATACAATTATTGGGGGGCAGTTGCCCTACAGTATTGAGTTGGCCTCTGCCACACATCAACACGAATCAGCCACAGGTGTACACATGGCCTTCCCTTCTGAACCCTTGTCCCATCTCCCACCCCACCCCACCCTTCTAGGTTGTCACAGGACACTGGGTTGAGCTCTCTGTTTTACACAGCAAATTCTCATTTCTGCTGTTTATTTTTCTTTTTTCTTTATGGGGCAGGGCATGTGTTCTTAATGTTCCTGGTAGTGGTTGTATTAAGTAGCTCACCAGGTGAGGTCAGAGGTGGTAACAAAGGTGATGTGTCCCAGAAGTTGTTAGGCATTTGTGAAGTGACTTACTCACTAAATACTTCCCATTCACATTGAAGAAGCTGGATTTTCTAGAAAAAGGAGAGACAGAGGAAAAAGAAAGATATCCTTTGGGGTGGGAGAGGCAGGCAGGCAAAGAAGCGCATGGTCTTACGATGTGATCAGTGCCCCACGTGGAGCAACTTATGCGGGGCTCTGTTCCCGGGGACGCTGGGACCAGCTGTGCCCCGGCCTGCGGGTGATCGTACACCTGCTTCACCAGGGATGTGGGCAGCCTGGTCCACTTGGGAACCTGTGTTGGAGGCCCCTCTGGGAACCAGCAGGGTGAATGGAAAGCACCCCGCTCCCTGCGTTCTTCACCTCCATCTCCTTCCACTCACCTCTGCATTGCTACCTGTCCACCACCCCTTCTTAGCTTCCAACAGTGCCCAGTCTAGCTGCTGGGCAATCAGCGGGGAAAGGGGTGCTGGCCATTGGCTGTTTCTCAGAGGAAGAGCTGTAATGATGTCTGTTATCTTTGCATCAGGTCTGATGATGTCTCATCAGCCTGAGAATTCCCACGCCCTGGGACCCCCTTCTCCTCCTGGCTCAGCCTCTGCCAGCACCCCCCACCTCGCTTTGGCTCCCCAGACAGTGCTCTAGATCCACGTTCTGTGTCTCTCACAAGGAAGCTGGGGTCAGGAAGGCCACTGGATTTCCCCACTTCAGTCTTGAACCCGTTAAGCCAGGAGGGAAAGGTTTTATTGCGGTCATTTCTTTCCTTCCTGAGGGTTTCCACAGGGCCACCAAAGCATCCAGAGGGGCCTACTTGACCCTGATGCTGTCTGGCCTTGCAGGCATCCAGTGGGCTGGACCAAGGGGCTGGACCGATGCTCCTCAGCCAGCTTAAGTCACTGCTTACCTTTCCTTGGCCACCTTCCTTGGTGGCTCAGCTGGTAAAGAATCCACCTGCAATGTGGGAGACCTGGGTTTGATCCCTGGGTTGGGAAGATCTCCTGGAAAAGGGAACGGCTACCCACTCCAGTATTCTGGCCTGGAGATTTCCATGGACTATTCCGTGGGGTTGCAAAGAGTCGGACATGACTGAGCGACTTTCACTTTACCCTTCCTGGAGACATCTATCTTGTGAACCTCAAACAGCGTGTTTGGCAGAATGATGACCCTCATCCGTCTCTGCTCCACCCTGCTCAGGGCAACTTTGTCACGACTTCTGGGTGTAGCAATCCCCGGACCATTGTGCTGGGCAACAGGGAAGCCCTGAGACCAGAAAACTAGAGATACCACGCGACCGCTTCTTTTCCACTTCTTTTCCGCTTCTTTTCTGGGGTCTTGCCTCCAGTTCAGAGGTAGCTCTACCTAGAAAATGCTCACAGGTGTCCTTTGACCAACCTCCACCCCTCATCCCCTCCGGAACCCTGAGGCCTAAATCAGGAGCAAGGAGCAGGATGTAGGGTCCTTCTCTGGGACCTGGTGTGGCCTCAGCTCTTCAACAATGTCCCCTGTCTCCCTCCTCACCACCTCAGGGAAAACAAATTTTTGTTGTTGAGGTTGGATTGGGGGAAGTGGAGGGTACCGGGGGGAGGAGAAAATCTTTCCTCTTTGTCTTACTGTTTTCTCCCAAATCCTTTGCTATAGTCTACTCCATTCCCTAAGGGAAAATCCAAATAGCTGGCTTTTTGACTCAAAAGCCGCCTAAAGGCACCCGTCCCCTTGCCATTTTGCAGCCACCTATCTTCCCCAGCAGAGAACAGAGAAGCCTAGTCGCTGCCTGACCGTGGGGGTGGGGAAAGGGTGGTGAACAGGGAAGAACAGGGTCAGGGAGAATGCCATCACTGAAGAGCGCCAAATCCTAATCTGCCTCCATACACCGAGTCTTCCATTCGGTGAAGAATGTGTCAGGAGATCCTTCTGATCTCTGAGTTCTCTTACGGCTTGCCCCACGACCCAAGGATGCCGCTCCCTCCCTTTGGCCCCTTTCTCCCTGAGAAGTTCTGCCTGCAGCCTTTTCTGAGCTCAGTGGAGCTCACAGCAGAGCCTGGTGGTGATGAAGCAAGAGTATGAAAGATCACTCACTGGGAACTTTGTTTTTTTTTTTTTTTACTTGCAGTGATTTTGAAGTGTAGGCATTCTCTGTCTTCCAGCTCTGCCGAGGGTGTGTTTATTGGGGAACTAAGTTTTCTTCTTGTTCTCTTCTGTCTCTAGAGGAAATCTAGAGGGACAGGCATGAGGGTCCACCAGTGTCTCAGTAAAACGGAAGGGAGAGGAGTCCTTTGCAAGGTGGGCGGTGAAGGAGGTAAGAAGCAAAAAGGACCATTGATGATCCCACAGGATAGTAGTGGATCAACAAGAGTTTGTTTGCATGGATTTGCCAGACAGAGCTGTGTTAATTCTGTCGCTGTTTTGTACCAGCTGTGAGTCCTTGGGCCAGTCATTTACCTTTCTATTCCTCTGTATCTTCCTCTGTAACATAAACATAATAAAGATACCAACTTCTTACCTCTTAGTGTTATGAGGATTGGATGGAAGAGGCTTGGGGCATCATGTGAAAGTAAAGTTGCTCAGCCATGTCCGACTCTTCACAACCCCATGGATAGTCCATGGGGTTCTCCAGGCCAAAATACTGGAGTGGCTTGGGGCATACTAGGCACTTAATAACATTACCTATTATTATTACTGGGCTTCCCTGGTGGCTCAGATGGTAAAGAATCTGCCTGCAATGCAGGAGACCCGGCTCCCATCCCTGGGTTGGGAAGATACCCTGGAGGAGGGTAAGGTAACCCACTCCACTATTCTTGCCTGGCGAATCCCCATGGACGGAGGAGCCTGGCGGGCTACAGTCCATGGGGATCGCAGAGTCAGACATGACTGAACAGCTAAGCACTCATTATTATTACTACTACTGCTACTAATTTTATTGTTCATTCACTGTCTCAAAGAAACTCATCCTTGTCAAGCATAAGCTCTGATAAGAGTGGTTTAAGGAGACTTACATTTCAACATGAAGCATTTCCCCTTTAATTCTCTTAGGAAGCAGCAGTAACAAATTTCCTGTTTTGGTTTCTGATCCTGATTAAATTCCTGGTCCATTGCCTTGCATAAGTAAGTAGATATTCAGTAAATACTTGTAGATTGAATGATACTCCATGGTGCCAATTATAACACAAAAATAATGGGGCCATGCTTTAAATCATTCTATCTTTTTCTTTCTCCCTCTCTCACATGCACTCAGGCACACCCCATTTTAAAACAGAATTCAACAAGGCTTTAAGCAGACATAGACTGTGTGTTAGTTTTCTATTGCTGGGTAACAATATCACAGACTTAGTCACTTCCAACAGCACACAGCTTTCTCTCATTTCTGTAGGTCAGATGTCCCACAGCTTAGCTGGGTCCTCTGCAAGGTTGTGATAAAGGCTGAACACTGAATCAGCCTGGCTGTATTCTTTCCTGAGGCTTGAGTCTCTCTTCCAGGCTCCTTGAGGTTGTTGGCAAAAGTCAAGTCCTTATGGTTGTAGGATCGAGGCCCTCAAATCTTGCAGGCTGCCCTCTCCACAGGCAGTTCACAGGAAGGCTTTACTTCTTCAGGGCCAGCGAGAGAGTCTCTCTCTACCTTCGGGAAGGACCTAGGCCTGCTTTTAAGGGCTCACCTGATTAAGCCAGGCCCACCCAGGATAAGCTCCATTTTGGTTACCTCCAACTCAAGGATGCTGCGAAATCCTTCCACCTTTTCCAAGTAATATGCCTCCAAACCAGGGTGGCATCTCATCATATTCAGTCTCACCCACATTTAAAGGGAGGGGATTATACATGGTGTATAGGGTGGTGTGTGGGCATTGGAGGGGTGGGAATATTGGGGGCCCTCTTAGAATTCAGTCTATCACAGGATGTCTCTTTCAGCCCAGAAGATATTATGGTAAGTAGAAACTCCAAAATGTGTTTCTACATTCCAGGTGACACTAACTCAAAGAAGGTGGGGACCTTGCTGAGGGCAGATCCTGCCTAAGACGCCATAAAGTCAATGATGATGATAGTCTCTATATGCCAGGTGCTCTCCACGACTTTAATGTCCCTTACTCTCATTGTCACGACTACAGCGTTTTACAGAGGAGGCTGGGATATGAACTGGTGCATTCCGACTCTGTGGCTGGCTCTGATTCCCGTCCTAAATTGAATTTAGAAAAATAGGCCCTGGCAAACAAACGCATGATAAATGATTTACAATGGCGAGCGTGATGGCAAATTTTATGCCGGCGCTTGTGTTTTCTCTCTGTCTCTGTCTGTCTCCCGCTCTCTCCCCCCTTCCCTCCCTCCCACTCTCTGACATTAAATGCTTGGTTACTCAAGGCCACGGTTACAGGATGTTAAGTAAACAGTCTCCCCTCCCCACGCTTTGTTTATTTTTCAAGACAAGAAAATGGAACAGAACGTTAGGGAAGGAGGCTCTGCGGCATTTCAGAGCGGCTGACTGCTCTGGGCAGAGGCTGTGGGCTCTCCTGGCTGGGCCCCCTCCTGCCGATTGTGGCTGGGGGACCGACCCTCTGTACTGCTTTAACCACAGGCAGCTCCAAGGGCTCCAGGAGGCCCCTGCTCGGTGCACGCGTGTCTGGAATATTTACTCGTATGGACAATCCACGCTGACTCCGGAGCTGGTCCCTGGCTCCTGCAGAAGGGTCTGTGAGGACCAGGAGGTCAGCCAGGTGGGCTCAGTAACTGCCTGCCTCCGCCTTCCATGCCACTGTCTCCCGGCAAACCAAAGCTCAGCTTTTGACCTCCCCCAGCCTCTCCTGATCCCACTCGAGAGGGCTCTCCTGCTTTCTGCTTTTGGGGAAGCATAACCATCGCACTGAGTCTCCTCCCCAAGGGTCATAAAGTCCCAGCTCCCTCACCCTAGCCTCGTGAGTACCAGTTCTGAGTCCAAGGACCAAGGAATTTACACACTACCACGTGGCATTTGCATATGAATCCAGTAGAAATCTATTTTTTTTTTTGCTTCCAGCAAGTAATACTAGCTCTCCTATTTTTTTTTTCTAGAAACATGCAGCTGTATCTTTTATTTCTTCCTGAGTATATAGAAGAAATAGGCAGCACTTTTCTACTCAGAAAGTCATTCCACAAGGTTTGGATAGAATTGAACATCCTCCCCGCCTCCTGTCCCCGTAAACTTAGGAGTGGGGACACAACTCCGGCCTCCCTGATCAGATTATCTTATTACTCTGGCCACAGCCATTGGATGAGGAATGGCTGGATGGGCTGTGCTGGACCAGAGTGCTCCCTGAGACTTTTCTATTCCTGATTTCTGGGGTGAGAGCTCTACTTTCTGAGGCTAAGCTGGACTCCAGCTGCTGGCAGCTATTCTTACCCTAGAAAAGCACTGGAGAAGGCTTGCGTGAGAAATGGAAATACAGGTAGAGCATTAGTGACATTGATTGAGCTCCTGGATCCCACTATGCCTGAAGACTACATACTGCTGCACTTTGGGGTTAAATATACACACCAAAAAATCCCCTCCCCACACACTTCTTGTTTTCTTAAGTTGAGAGCATCTGGGATTCTGTCCCTTGTGACTGGAGAGTCCTTATATAAGAACCAACATCCTGGAAATTTCTACCGTGTGCCAGGCACTGTGCAATGCATTGTAAGTATTTATATTATCTGTTTTAATCTTCTGTTTAAGGACCTGGCATAGCAGGCCTGATTACCCCAGTCATGCAACCGGAAGAGGGAGGCTCAATATAGGTAAGTACCTTGCTCATGAGCAAGGGATAGAGCAGAAATCTGTGCTTTCTTTCTAGAACTTCTCTGATACTTACCATCTTTGCTGTTCCTTGGGCTCATGTCACCTGATGGCGTTATTTCACTACTCTACAGCCTTACGTCTGGCCACACCACCTAAATCGTAAGATCCCTGACGGCAGGGATCGGGTCTTGTTTGCTGGCTCCACTGTAATCATCACTACACAGGCCCATGGCACTCAGCATCGGGTGAGGCAGTTCATAAATCTTAAACAAACCCTTGCTGAACTCATGACATGCCCGTGGCACTTCGCAAAAGGCTTGTCATAACCCGATTCATGGGCAAGGAGCCATGGTGCAGAGAGAACAGGCGTATCTGATGAACTAAGCGTGCTTTTCGCAAACCCCGCCACCAGTTCTCCCCAGAGCCAACCCTGATGAGTCCCCATCTTTCATTCATTCATTCATTATCCATCCATTCTTATATTCTACATACATTTTTCTGAACACTTATTTTATACCAAACATGTAAGACTCAGGATACTAAGTGAATAAGACGTGGCTCCTGCCCTCAAGGATCTTATTTATAATTGCCTTTTAATTACCCAGCAGCAAATTTCCCCAGTCATTGGCAGTTTGCTGTTTGAATTGTTGAGCTCCTCTCTGGACTGTGCATCACTGGAGCTCAAGCCTTGCCCAGCCCTCCATCCTGCTTGTCGTCAACTACCGTGGCCCCACTCCACCAAGAGGGCTGCCACAGTGTACAACTCCAGGGGACACCATTCATGCAGACACAGGGCATTCTTGGAAACAGAGCAACGCACGGCCTGTACCACTGTGCACGGTGGCCTTGATGACTCAAAGAGGACCCGTTAACGATAGCCCTTCCCGTTCACGATCTCATTTGTGGAGCACTTTATAGTTTACAAGAAATTTCACCTCCATGGTGTCAGTTGAACCGAGAAATTCTGTGTTGGTTTCCATGAAGCATCCTCTCTCCTCTGCCCTTCACCCGTGGGGTTCTCTGTTGGTTCCGTGAGCTCCCCCTGTAGCCCCCTCTCAGATGGTGACAGTCCTGCTGAACTGTGACAATTACCGAGCACCGAGTAACATTTTCAGCCCCAGGCTTTCTTCCACCCCACAGCACCTACCTGGAATTAGCAGCGGCTGTGGCTTGGCCGAGGTGAATGTGCTGGTGATTACGAGCGCACTTCTTGTTTGTCTTTTCAGCCCTGAAATCCTGTCAGTGAGGAGAAGCGATAATAACATGTTATTAAGTCCTTTCTGGGTAATGTAATTCAGGAGTCAGGAGGCAGTTTGGTCATTTATGTCTTTGGAAAGCTTAGAAAATTTTCAGCATCATTATCCCCCATTTTAAAGAGCCAGGCTCTAATATATAAATAGAGATCTGGCCGCTCTGGGGGTATATATAGATACACATGTACCCTTAGATGGTCACATGTGAGTGTGTGTACGGACATGTACACACAAGCACGGGAAGTGGGCAGGTATGTGGTGAAGTCAACGCAAACTTCCAGTTACTTATAGATCTGTGTGCCTAAGAACACCTCCTTCTTAGGATCACGGCTTCTATCGTCCAGGTTTTCAGGAATTCAGTTTTATTCCTAGCCTCTCCCTTGACACGTTGTGGAGTTTCTGTTTTTGCTCATCATTATAATAATGAAAGGAAGAAGAACTCTGTAAGCACACGCCTCCAAGGTGTGCAGTGCCAACGTAGAGGGACTACATTTCAGTTGCCCAGTCCTTGTCTTCATGCCCCTTTCCAAGCTGCAGGTCCTAGTTACCTTCTGAGAGCTTTTCATGCCATCAGAAGAAGTCTGTCTCAGTTCAGTTCCATCACTCAGGCGTGTCCGACTCTTTGCGACCCCATGGACTGCCGCACGTCAGGCCTCCCTGTCCATCACCAACTCCCAGAGTTTACTCAAACTCATGTCCATTGAGTCGGTGATGCCATCCAACTGTCTCATCCTCTGTCGTCCCCTTCTCCTCCTACCCTCAATCTTTCCCAGCATCAGGATCTTTTCAAATGAGTCAGCTCTTCACATCAGGTGGCCAAAGTAGTGGAGTTTCAGCTTCAACATCAGTCCTTCCAATGAATATTCAGGACTGATTTCCTTTAGGATGAACTGGTTGGATCTCCTTGCAGTCCAAGGGTCTCTCAAGAGTCTTCTCCAACACCACAGTTCAAAAGCATCAAAGCATCTTTGGTGCTCAGGTTTCTTTATAGTCCAACTCTCACATCCATACATGACCACTGGAAAAACCACAGCCTTGACTACATGGACCTTTGTGGACAAAGTAATGTCTCTGCTTTTTAATATGCTGTCTAGGTTGGTCATAACTTTCCTTCCAAGGAGTAAGTGCCTTTTAATTTCATGGCTGCAATCACCATCTGCAGTGATTTTGGAGCCCCCCAAAATAGTCTGACACTGTTTCCCCATCTATTTCCCATGAAGTGATGGGACCAGACGCCATGATCTTAGTTTTCTGAATGTTGAGCTTTAAGCCAACTTTTTCACTCTCCTCCTTCACTTTCATCAAGAGGTTTTTTTAGTTCCTCTTCACTTTCTGTCATAAGGGTGGTGTTGTCTGTATATCTGAGGTTACTGATATTTCTCCTGGTAATCTTGACCAAATGGAGAGCTTGGTCTGATCCTGTGTCTATGGTCAGGGGCTAGGAGTGAAATTGACCTGGGAGGGGATGGGGAAAGTCCATTTATTTGTCAGATATGCCAGTTTTCCATTGCCTTTAGGAAACTTGAAATTAGATGCTAGTACCTCCTGAGTTCTGTCCTTGAAAAAGAAATCTCCCCATTGTCCCATGAGATGGCTGTATGTAGGCTATGGTTGAAATGTGATATTTTTTCCTAAGAGCTATGGGAGGTCCATGAAGAGTTTTGTTCATTTAGCCCACCAACAAACCCTTGATGGGCACCAATCACTAATCAGGTGCTGTTCCAGGCACTGGGGTGTATAGGAGAGAACAGGACAGACCAAAATTCCTGCCTTCAAGGGATGACTTCCTTGGCAGGGAAGAGAAGGTAATGAACAGATGAACAGATGGACAGGAAAAATGGAAACAGCAGATGGAGCTGAGGGAATTTCATGGTATAGGTGAGCAGGGAGGCCGTCCCTTAAGAGACATATAGCCAAGCCAGGAGCAGGCATAAGAAGTGAAGCCACAAGGACAAAGGCTCCAAGTGGCACTAGCGTCTGAAGGCTTTGAAAGAAGGCCAGTGTGATGGAGGAGATGATGCTGAGAAGTGGAAAGCAGACACTTCAGGTGACCATGCTGAAGAATTCATTTAGGTGAAGAAAGTTTATTCCAAGAGAAATGAGAAGCCATTCATGGGTTCTAAATGGAAGAATGTCATACTCTGGTTTATACTGTAGGATTATTGCCACTGTGAGGGGGGTGAGGGTAGACCATGAGGAGCCCCAGAAGGGTTGAGGGAAGGAGGTGAAGGTGGCTCAGACTAGGGTGGAAGCAAAAATGCAGAACTGATCTTTTACATTTATGGGGTAAAGTCATCAGGACTTGCTTCAGAACTGGATTCAAATGGGAGAAAATTCAGTTTTTCTTTGTTGGTTTTAATGTTCCCAGGTTAACTGAGATATAATTATTGAGACCACACAATCCACCCATTTAAACTGTGTAATTTAATGGCTTTCGGCACATGTGCAGAATTGTACAACTATCATTACAGTCAACCTAAGGATATTCTCATTGCACCAAAATGAAACCTTGCAGCCCTCAGTCACTGCCTCTGATTGTACTTTGTACCATATTTTATTCATACCATTTTCCAGTTGATAGACATTTAGTTTATTTCTGTCTTTGGCTACTACAAATAATGTTGCTCTGAATATTATGTACAAGTTAGTTTCTCTTGGATATATACATAGGTGTAGAATTACTGGTTCATTATGATAAATCTCTTAACTATTTGAGGAACTGACAGACTGTTTTCCAAAGCAGCTGCAACATTCTACAGCAATGTAGGAGGGTGTTATTCAGTTTTAGCATCACTCTGGCTGCTGTGCAGAGAAAGAATTGGAGCAAGGTTTGGGGTGGGAAGTGCAGAGATCCGAATGTTATGCAAAAGTGGAGGCATCTTAGTAGGGTTCAAAGAGACCCAATTTAAAGTGCCCTTCATCCTATTTTCTGGCAAAGAGGTTTCTGTGAGATAGCTATCTGTACACCACAAATCACTTCATTAAATTAAAAGATTCCAACAGAGAGGGCTTGTTAATACAGATCTGCAGTTTTCAAATCTAGAATCCTAAAGCAAACTGGTATGGAACTGTTTAAACATCTGTCCCCACACAAGCTCCTGCAGGCAGGAGGGTATTTGGAGAGAAGCTAAGGGAGTCAGCAGTGCAATAAAACTTCCACAGCTTCAAGCCACAAAAACCCACGGCTCAAGTGGCAACCTGTTTCCGAGGACTCGTGGGGCAGCAGGCAGCGCTCCTACTGCCGGGGCCACTGCCGTGGCCTCTCAGCCCAGGAAAGGGCTGGCTTTGTTCCTAGTTGCTGGTCTTGACAACTGAGCAGTGGTCCTGTCCCTCTGCCAATTCTTCTAGCTCAGGAAGGGAAGGGAAACCAACATCCATCAGGCTTATAATAGTCCCGCTCCCGGGGTGAGATGCTCTCCTTACATTCCTTAAGTTAGTGAACTCTCACAAGTCACCAAGGAAGAAAGGACTACTTTTCTCATTTACAGATAGGTTGGCCCCTTTGGATGGGAAAGTCAGAAAAGGTATCTCTGAAGAGATAGCATTTTAGCTGGTAACAGCCACAGAAGGATCATTCTAAGAGTAAACCCCAAATTGTTAGCTCTCTGGGTGTCCTCATTTTTATTCACATTTAATTTTTATTTATATTTATTATATAAATAAGAGTAAGAAGCACCCATCTAGAAATAAATCCAATTAAATTCATTTAAAAGATAACCTGGAGTAGAAATTATAATTCTTTTTCCTTAATATTTCTGACTTTTTACTCAGGAACTACTCTCCATAAAAATATCTCCCGACCCCATCCCTAAACAATCCACTATTTTCCCCCAACATCCAATATGACTGTCTCAATGAGGGATGGGCTGGGTTCCTAAGATTCAGCCTTCAGTTCGAGGGATGATTGATGGAGAGGAAGCATGTGCTTTCCCACTCATTTTTGTGTTCTAATACAAAACGATCTTTGTTAAACTTGTTTTGGGGGCAAGACACTCCGTCCCACCTTGAAAGGGGGAATTGGGA